CTATCCTCAGTAGCTCCAACATCTTGGGCAGACTCCACAGAGCCAGAGGACATTCGCCTGGACCTATGTCTGACAAGAGGCTGCTCCTCCACGTCTTCAGTTTCATCTTGGATGGATGAGCTTCCCCCTTCCAACCTGGATTCACTCAAAGCACCCTCATCAGAAATGATGTGTTTAACACTTAATTAGCAACACAAGATATATACCTTCCGTTTGGTGCCGTTAATTTTCCCAGCTCCACCTCAGCTGCCTTAGAAGCCCCCATCTCTGATGGGCCAACATTTTCCCCCTGGCCACGCAATGCTTTCTCTTGCTCTGCTGTCTGGACTCAGTTCATGTCAAACGACACACTATGGATACCAATAATAATAATAAAAAATTAAACAAAAAACAAAAACAAACCTTCAGTGACAATGAAACTGCATGTGCAAGTTCAGGATCCTCTAGGTGAGGCGGCCTTTGCTGAGGCTCGTTATCATCAAACTGCTGCATCAAGATGAAATTAATACAAAGACAATCTCTTAGTACTAGAAAACCACAAACACGAGGACCAACCCAACAGTGTAGGCTTGTCACATACAGTTGGTGCACCAAATAGTTGATTTTGTTGGCTTTCTTCAACTTCACGTTTTGAAGCCTCGATGGCAGCTCGAATCATTTCTTCTTCGATATCATTGCTATAATCCTGTGGATCATCAAATCGAGGAGCACTAGGTACAAAATTTCGGTGATGAGATCCATCACCTGAAGAAATATCTTGTGGTCCGCTGCCTTGTCCTTCCTGAACAGTTGGGGCAGCTGGAACATCATCATCTTCATCATCAATTATAACAGTCCCAGGGATACCTGGGCCATATGCCTGAGCTGTTCCAGTGACATCATCAATGGTAGGAGCATGGCCAGAATGGCTGGAGGGATTGCCACCATCCTTGACTTCTATGGGGATCTCCCTGACCTCTCTTGGATGAGTAACAAATGGTGCACGTTCTCTAAAATCTGACCCGCTTTCAAATATGCTGCCACCAAAGCTTGGATTAAGAAGAGAAAATGGATTTATATCACGGGTTGCAGATAGAAGTGATAGAGGATCTCTCCGCGGTCCAACTGGAACTGGATCATCAATATCCATCAAATCATCTTGAGCTGCAACAGGTGTTTCAGGCACACTGGACATGAAATGATATCAATGTTAAAGCCGGAGATAAGTTCCAATAGTTGATGATGTATCATACTAATTATGTTAAGCATGAGTAGCAGCAGATGAAAAGCATACTTCACTGATGTGTTTCTATCTCCTTCAGTAAAATGCGCATTCACAGCTTCATTGAGATCGCCACCATGCTCCTAATTGCAAGCAAACACAAATGGAAGAAGATCTATAAGAAGCAATAAATTGGCCAACATGCTAAAGCTTTTTTCTTTTATTTATCTATTTGCTTTTTAGACTTAACCCTCTAATAGTCAAACAAGAGAGAGCATCCTCAAAAATCCAAGAGACTAAAACACAAAACTACTCTAATAAGGATCTAATAGTTTACTTGTAATAGTAGTTAGGTATGCATCAATCATAATCTATATGAAGGCTCTGTATCAGATGGAGCTGAAGTGAGTTTTCTTGCTCACCCCAAAGCATTCAGGTTTATCCAGCCACAACTCCAGAAAAATTAGTTGCACCATAGATACAATTAGATATATTAATAGGGAAAATTATATTCCAAAGACTTCAGAAAGGTTAGACTCAATCAAGTATAAAAGAAGCTAACCTTGCTGTAATTTCTACTCCAACTAGTTGCAGAGATATCCACAAGGCCAACTGAAGTGCACACCTTGTTCATTGCTTACAATTCAATAGTTACCATACTATTCACTAGTGGGTCTAACCAAATACACTTGACCATATTTTCAACACCCAAAAATTTTGCAGGTACCAGTACATTCACAACCCTTCTATTTTGTTTGGTCAAACAATCAATTGTACAAGCCAACCCTTCTCCAAACTCTATATAACAACCTCGACTGCCCATATTTCATTGAACCGTCAAAGAGAATACTAAAAGTAAAAGTCTTTAACTGTATAACAGTAATCTCATTGTCCTAAAAAAACCATCTATTCCTCTACCCAATCACAACCCTTGTAAAATTCTTCAATTTTTTTTAATTACTCTTTTGAGTAGTGCAAGTAACACCCTTTTAACTTAAATTTCCAAAATTATAGCCCACCATTTAACTGTAGTTTACATAAACTATAGCATAGAGCACTTGACGACTAATACCATCAAATAGCAACCGAAGTAAATTCTCCCTTCATCTAAATATACCAATACACTGAAGCAAACAATACCATCCTAACAAACTAAATCCCATATTTAAATTTCAAAATTCTCAATAAAATCAATCCAAATACTTTTCAACCAAAATTCCCAATTAAAATCCATTACCCCAAATGCAATAAAAAACCTAACAGCAACATTACGTTATTTAACACCTTAAAACGGAGAATTGAATCGGCGATTCTGATTACAACCACAGAATTGAATTCAGGACATTAAGAGTTACCTCAAGCTTTTGCACGGCGACGGCTTCGGAAGCGCCGGTGATGCTGATAAAGGTGTCGATTGCTTCCTGATTAGGCCTCGCCATGGAAATTGCAGCAGAACTTCAAGCAATTCTTGAGCTCCGATTTTCAGTGTTGGTGTTGCGTTTTATGAATTTAATTTTTGTTCAGAGAGATGCAAGTAAATTAGTAATAGATATTTATGTGTGGAAAATATAGGCTGTATGTTATGCGCTCATATATATAGAGTAGGGGAGTAAGGGCGTGTTTGGAAGTCGGTTTTTTGGAATTTAAAAGAATTTAAAATGGTGAAATTGCTTTTGGGTATTTTCTTCTCCATTCTTCCACGTCTCTCCTGGATGGAGGGTAAAGCATCAAAGACACATCACACAAGCACACATGGATGACTTGCTGTCTAAGCAGCTCTAAAGGAAGAACGTCATTAACATTAAGTTCGGTTTAATAGAGAGATTTACATACAAGCCATGAGTTTTTTTTTTTTTGGTTCAATGGCATGAGGACTTTTGAAAAGGAGCACAAATTTAATTTTTATTACAAGCATGTCAAACTTTTCATTAAAAATTTAATAAATTGTGGCCAATAGGGTCTAACACATTGGAAAATGACCTTAACTTGCAAACTAAAGGTCTCATGTTCGAACCCTATGGCATCTTGGTTGTGTGCGTGAGATAAACACTCATCTCCTGTACTATTATGGTTAAATTTTCAAATAATTCAAAATTGTCCTCATTTAATAAATAAAAAATTGAAAACACAACTATTCCATTTTAAGGGCACAAATACGTAAAATAATAGTCTATAAAAATACAAATTACTAAAAAGCAAAAAGTGAATCCAATATAACAATTCTCTATTGATAAGTATAAACAACAAAAGAAACTATATTGACACGAGCATAAATTATTGATAAAACACTAACCAACCACATCATTGATAAATAAAAATTGCACAAAAGTTTGATTAGTTATCATCACCAACCCTAAGCATTTTATGATTAGAGTTATAATCCTTTGTGCATTTTATCCTTTCAAGTTTTTATTTTATTTTATTTTATTTATGTGTATAGTGAAATATGAAAGGTTTAATACGAAAGGAATTGTATTAAAATAAGTCAACACTTTGATCCCTTTCCAAAGTAACAAAAAGAAAGTATTCGTCTTGGCTTTTTTTCCCCTTTATGTTTCTTTAGAAATATTCAATTAATTTGTCTTCCTTTTTTGTGGAAACTTAGTTATGAATAAATATTCGGTATATTGCGGAATTTTTATGTTCAAATGATTGGGATTCCATTCCAACCTTTGTTTATATTTTTGTTATTTCTCACCAAGAAGAAAACAAAACAAAGGAAATGGTATTAAAAGTGCACACACAAATGATAACGATGGTCACATGTCTAACACCCCTGCCACGACTTCTGCTTTCAAACCCACTGACACATTTGTACCGTTTCTGTCTTCTTCATGTTTCTTGGTACAACACTAAACAACACAAAATTATACATAATTCAGGGTCAGTTTAGAAATTTTGAGGATGTCATGCGAAACTTAAATTGAGACTTTTATACTAACACGAAAGTACTGTATATTGCCACTCCAAAATATTACAAAGATTCTCACCCCCGGAAAATTACATTTCACCCATACTAAATTTGTACTAAGCTTCAGTGACCCTAATAATTTTATCGCGTTGGGCTGAAGCATATACAATATATTTTGCTAGATTTTGTTTGATTAGTAATAAAAAGGGAGATTCACTATTATATCCAATATGGGAGCCCAAATTATAAAAATTAAATGATGTATGGTTTATTATTGAGGGCTCGTTTGGTACGGCGGACTGGTATGGACTGGACTAAATCCTGGGACTGTCTAGGATTGGTTCGGATTGGCCTAAACTGGATTAAGTCCTTACCTACGTTTGGTGCTGCATCGGACTAAAAAGTTGGATTGTAAAAATAGTGAAGACCTATGTTTGGTGATGTGTTGGACTAAAAAATAATTATTGTAATAATTAGATTTAAAACAATAATAAAAAGAAAACAACTAAAATTCTGATATTTTTTTAAAGGCTAAAATTATGTTAAATAAAAAATAAAAAATCATCAGATTCAGACCCAACCCAACCTCCTCATTCTTTTATCAAAATTACATTTCACCCATACTAAATTTGTACTAAGCTTCAGTGACCCTAATAATTTTATCGCGTTGGGCTGAAGCATATACGATATATTTTGCTAGATTTTGTTTGATTAGTAATAAAAAGGGAGATTCACTATTATATCCAATATGGGAGTCCAAATTATAAAAATTAAATGGTGTAGAGTTTATTTATACTTTGAGTGCTAAGAATGGGTATTTGACTAAAATATCTCTAATAAAAAAGGTATATGAGTTCGGATTCGGGTTAATTCTGGCGGGCAAGACCTGAACTCAATCCTAATTAAAAAGTGATCCAGTCGGCCCATTCGGGTTAACACCACAACGGGTTGGGTTTGGGCATATCAAGTTGACCCGACCGGACTTGCACCCCAATACACACAACAGAAACGAAGCCGTTTTAGGCCTTACAAACTCGTCTCCCTCTCTCCCAGTGATCTCGCTCCTAAAAACACAGGCAAGGCTGTAAGAAAAATGGAGGTGAAGGAGGAGCAGAGCACGAAGAGGAAGAAGCAGAAGCAGGGAAGGTTCTGGACATGGGTTGCAGCATCAGTGTTGTTCAGGCTCATTCTCATCTACTTCCCCAAAAATCTCAACCTCTCTTCTCGCCCCGAAGTCTCCACCCCTCTCACCAGCCTCCGTCGCCGTAATTTCTCTCTCTATCTCTTTCTCTCTCAAGCTTGCTCAGAACCACACTTTCTCAAGTTTCGGCTTCTATCTCTTTCAATTCAATTGTTGTTTTCTTTTTCAGTGGCTGAGGGTTACTGGTTGAAGCAGTCGTCAATGTCTCCCTATGCAGGTTTCTCATTGCTGGTTGTCTATCTTCTTATATAATTCATGTTTAATTTATCAAAGATTGTAATTTTTTTTTGTTCTTTACTGGTTTTGCAGGATCTATGTACCACGGATCTCCTTTGTTACTCTCACTTCTTGGGCCACTCACAATCAAAAGGTACCGCTTCAGCTTAAGCTTTTTCCTTTTTCAGTGTTGTTCCCATTAGCGTCATTCTATGTGATTTATTTTGAGCCATGTTTGGTTTCGTTAGTTGTTCTAAGACTCTTTAAGTTCTGGAATTGGAGGCCCAACTGCCAGTTCCAGTTTTAATTCTCTTCCATTTTCATTGTTTGATAAATCATTTTTTTTTAGTTCAAGAAAAACATTGGTTCAATGAATGCCCCAATTAAGGAAATGTTAAAATCTGGTGCTGGATTTTGTTTTTTTCCTTTTTCAGTTGGTAATTTGCTGAACATTTTAATTGGTGCTGCAGAATTGAAGGGCAACCCAGTCATCTTCTATGCAGGTAAGAATTTTCTTTTACCATTTTCTTAGTTCTCTCTCTGTAGCTCAGTACTGCCTTTCAATAAGTTCATATTTATGTTGTATAAGTGTGTCATATTTCATGTTCCAATAATTTAGAATTCCCTTAATTTTCTTCTTTCATTGGTTGACTTATTCCGAATATGTAGTCAGGCAGTTGATATTGACACATTCTTGGGTACAGTTTGGTTTTTGTGGTTGCAGATATATTGAATGCAATGCTTATTCGTGCTACTGGTCAGACTCTTCAGGTTGCATATAGGCAGAGTTTGAAATCACTAGATCTTGATACGATATCAGAAAGCATGGGTAATTCTAACATTTAAAGATCAATATACTTCTCTTTAGTCCTGTTTATGGATAGTCATATTTGATTGTATGAATTCCCCTAATGAAGTCTAAATTGTTATGCAACAAAGCAACTAGATATCGATAGATGCAGCTAGTATAGCTGGTTGTCTTGTTGAGACACAATTTTGATAGATCTAAAAATTTGGAATCTTAACAGATTGGCTTTGCCTGAATAGCTATATGAAATTATTATAATTGACTTATAGTTACGGGCATATGCCACTTTGTTGAAAAGCTTAACTTTTGATCTCATTTATGTGCATCATTTGTGCAATTACATTAAAATGCAAAGCTTTGCCTTCCGCATGCCATTCACAGGCTGATGCATGGCTTATATTTGTTGTTTTCAGAGGTCCTCTCTTCAGGAGATGTTGCTGCTCTTGTGTACCTGTGGAATCCTTTCACAATAGTTGCATGTGTGGGTTTGTCAACATCTCCAATTGAAAATCTGGCCATCATATTGGCCCTCTATGGAGCATGTAAACGTAAGTTAACTACAGTCCTTGTGACTTGGCAATTTAAATGTTTCTTTTAGGTTTTTTTAAGACTCTTTAAGTATTCTTCTTTCAAAACTTGTTTTTGTCATTTTGTTCATGAGAATGATTACTTCCTTAAAAGGATCATATAATACACTCCACTTGAGTTACAAGATTCCTGGTTTCTGGTTTAGATTGTATAGGCACTCATGTGATAGACATTCTCCATATAAGTCCTTGCCTGTATATTGTTGTGAGTTGTGACAGATTATAATCTATTACAGAAACTAACAAGTTTTGGATGTTTAAAATTTCATTGTAATTCTAGTTTTAGCAGTATCACTGGATGTGCCTACTTAAGTGGTAATAATACCATGCAAGTTCAGTCACATGACATCAGCACTCCATTTCATGGTAGAATAATATTCTGATTCTGTGTGCATGCTGACACTTTCTCAAGGAAGACATTCTTTCTAATTCCGTTTGACAATATTTGTTTGTTCATAATCAGTATGTTTTGAAGTGAGATTTTAGCATTTGATTTAGGGATGGATGAAGGCTCGTGGGGAACTGGCTTATGCTCTTCTTTTTAACTTGAACTTCCTTTCTGATATTGTTCTTCTGATGAACTGTAGGAATGGTTCCCTTGGCTGCTTTTGGATGGGTCATGGCAACACATCTGTCTCTTTATCCTATGATTCTCATAATTCCAGTATGCCCCTATTTTCATTGACTTATCATGTTTGATGTAATTATTAAAAAATTTGTGCAATTCTTCAATGAAATTATGTTTCTTATCAAAAAATAAAAAAATAAAAAGAATTTTCATGCAACATTTGAAATCTATTTTGAGTGTTTTCTTTCTCACTCATGCATATTGACAAATATTTAATCTTGTTCCAGATAATTCTTTTATTAGGATATGGTCCAGATACTCCTAGGAAATTGTTGCTGATGAGGAGATATGGTAAAGTTGAAGATAACTCGTCAAGTGATAGTTTTCAACAACAGGATAAAGTTATTAATCAATCAGACCTACCCAAAGTTTTCGCTTGGAGACCTACCATGCTTTTCTTATTGTGGGTTATTATGTGGTCAGTCTATGTGTTACTCCTGTGTGGCATATCTGTTAAACAGTATGGTGGTCTCTGGGAGATGTTTGAAAGGTATCAACAGCTCATTGTACGTGTATGCATTTCCTTATGCTCAAATATTCTAGATGTTTCTGCAAAATAAGATATATATAAAAAATCTGTTGAAGAGGAGAGTTCTCATTTCTTAGGCCTAGTAACAGAGTGGACTGATCAAGCATTATGACTTATCAAAGTTCTTAATGTGGTTTATTAAGATATCACTAAAAAATTTCAGTTCTATTTAAGAAGTTGTTGTACAGTTCTTAAAGGTCATCCAGTCCACATGTGAAAGTTGGAATAAGTAAACACTGAGTCAATAGAATTCCATATGAAAATAAACTGAGAAGAAAACAAACTAAAGATAGCACAGTTTTCAAAGCTAATCCAATTTTCCTGAAAAGTTTGGTCAAATTAGTATCCATCGAAGATCAGCTGCATATAGACTAGAGCTCTGCACAGGATGTCCTGGTGTTCACTATGGTCGGTGCTACTATAATTGATACAGAGCACTTGTAGCCTATAACTAGGTGAATGGCTCACAGAGTAACCAAATGGGTATTAGCATTAATTGTTTTACTTCCTCTAGTGCGAAGGGTTGCTCCTAGTAATTGTTATCTTATTGTTAAATCAGTAGTCTAAATTGTTGCTAAACATTGTGGCTGGTTTTTGCAGAATGTATGGTTTCATTCTTACTGTGCAAGATTTGTCTCCGAATATAGGTGTCTTATGGTGAGCCCCAAATTACCTGTACTGAAAGTGGATTGTGGAGTAGTTAAATTTTACTTTTGAGGCGTGGCATGAATTTGATCACTCATTTAATATTTTGATGCAGGTATTTCTTTGCAGAGGTCTTCGATTTTTTTAGAAATTTCTTCCTGATTGTTTTCCATATGAATATTCTCTTTATGATATTTCCATTGGCCATACGGCTCAAGCACCGTCCCTGCTTTCTTGCTTTTGTCTACATCACCATCTCATCAATGCTTAAGTCTTATCCTTCTGTAAGTTCTCGTTTTTTTTCGGAAGTCTTCTATATTTTCTGGTGCTGAAGCTAAAGTCTTCGATGCATGTTTCTGAAGTTATGCGATAGGCAGCCTGATTTTTTTGTTCTTCCATTGTATTACAATTTTGTTTAGGTTGGGGATTCAGCTCTGTACTTTGGTTTGTTGGGCTGGTTTGTTAATGAACTGTCAGGCAAGTCAGTTGGTTCTCTTTCTGTTCCCTTTATGCATTTGACATGGTTTGGTATCTTAAACATTATATTTTTATGATATGCAGAAATGCAATTCTCGTTCTGCCTCTTCAGTGTTTATGTTGGGGTTTCCCTCCTTAGCCCTGTGATGCACAACCTATGGATATGGAGGGTATGGCCCTCTCTACAGTTGTTCTGAACTTTAAAATGGTTATAAGTGTTTCTTATAATTAAGGACTTTTTCAAACTTGCAGGGCACTGGCAATGCAAATTTCTACTTCGCTACTGCAATTACTTATGCTTGTTTGCAGGTTTGTGAACTCTTATCAGTTATTTCTTTGCATCAACTGATATATTTAAGAGTTTCAAAGGGAGAAAAATGTAGCTTCCTTATTATATAGTTGATTCACAGGATGATTTCTGTGAAATAAAGCCATGACAGAAAGTCATCACCCCCGCTATATCCACTTTGACACTTATGTGACTTAGTCTTGTTAGCCTGATCAACCAATGGCTGATTTGCAACTCGATGAATCTGTTAATTTATGGTATTTGAGCGTATCCCTCTCTACTAATGTGTGCTCTGGACCATGCAGATGGTTCTGGTGGTTGAAAGTGTAAGTGCAATGCTCAATCATGACCGGAAGCTAAAAAAGTTGACTAATGCAAAGCTTCAAAATGGCAAATCTTAATCAGTTCTTAGAAATGAAGTTTGTCTCTGATCAATCAGCTTCTCAGTATACTCCTTGCATCACCAAGAATAGCATCAGTGCTCAGCAGCGATTCATCTTTTAACTGCTTGTATGCAAGAGTTCAAGGCTGTGTTTATCATGGATTAGAAGATCATCACTTCTTTTGGAACACATGTTTTCATCAGCATATCTATGCGGGGTTTTTATATCTTCTTTTCCATTTTAGTTTAAGGTGGGGTTTTTTGTTAGCAGGGAGGATTTGTACAATCGGATACAATATTTCACACATTTTTTTACCTTACTCCTGATGCATACACAGAGAGATTATTGTCTTCTTTCTCTTGTACTTAGATTTCAAGTTGTGCAAAAATGATTAAGGGTAGTAATTGAGTCATCGTGTTGTGTTCAACACATCCAGTTTCTGAACATGGTTGAGTTTGCAGTCGCAGTTCAACAGATTGTTACGGCCAGGACCAAACTGACTTAAAAGGACAGCAGTTTCAATAAACATGTTTATGTCACTTGAATTTCATTGTAAAAGCATACTAATGCTACTGTTTGATTAGGGTAACAGCCTGCGGCTTACCTCACTCTGTTCATTTTCAGTCTTTTAGTTGGTTTATTCTTTTGTTCAACCACGGTGTTACGGTCACACTCAAAATTTATCTTCTCTGGCATTAAATGACACTCAAAATTTATCTTCTCTGGTATTAAATGACAATTTTGGATGAAAGAATCCTAGCTGAAAGAGACTGAGATTGCCTTTGTGTCTTTGCCTAATATTCTGTTCTTTATTTCTCTCCATGATATTTGTTGGTGAGCTGTGAAGAACAAAATCTCAATAAAATGAAGCAGGAGATTTTCCCAAGCCCAGGCCATCCTAAACCCTAGGCTTTCTTTCTTTATATTGAAGATGGGTCGTCAAGTGCATGGCATAAATGGCCACATGGGTGCCAGTCATTGTCAATTATATCATCCGTGGGAGGATGGAAGAAACAAGTCAAATTCTATGCATATGTTGGATTGTTGGCTGACAAATTTCCAAAATTTAGCCGCCAAAAGAGGAGGGCTCTAATTCATCACTGCTGACACCATGAATCCTAGTCTTACCATATTTGTATACAACAATTTATATACCATATGATATGGCAGCTAATGTGTGCATACCACATCAGCTAATTAATGTAATTAATATTTTATTTATTTATTAAAATATACTCCATTGATTTAATTGATGTGGCATATGATATGGACATACCACATCATATGATATGGACATACCACATCATATGATATAGAAATGTGGGATAACAATGTGGTAAGCGTAGCATTACTTGAATAGTAAACCTTTCTTAATTAGTTAGTCTTAGTGCCCGTTTGGTATTTACTTATTTCCAAAATTTAGCCGCCAAAAGAGGAGGGCTCTAATTCATCACTGCTGACACCATGAATCCTAGTCTTACCATATTTGTATACCACAATTTATATACCATATGATATGGCAGCTAATGTGTGCATACCACATCAACTAATTAATGTAATTAATATTTTATTTATTTATTAAAATATACTCCATTGATTTAATTGATGTGGCATATGATATGAACATACCACATCATATGATATAGAAATGTGGGATAACAATGTGGTAAGCGTAGCATTACTTGAATAGTAAACCTTTCATAATTAGTTAGTCTTAGTGTCCGTTTGGTATTACTTATTTCAGGTGATAAGTGATTTTTTTAAAATTTTTGGAAAGTCTAGTCCGTTTGGTAAACTATAAGAAAATCACTTATTGTTAAAAATTGTTGTGAGAGAAAGCTATAAGAGAAAACAACTAATAAGGTACTTTCATTTTCTAATTATGCGGGAATCAATTTTGAAGAGGCGCTAGGTTTAATGATTATGCGGGAATACCAACAACACTTTTAACAAAAAGTTTACCAAACGCCAAACTGTTTTATGACACAGTTGATTTCTCTTACAGCAAATCTGATAGTGATTATTTTCACAGCACAACAATGCCAAACTGGCCCTTAATCCTTAAAAAGGGTCAACTCTCTGACATTGGTTAGTGGGCCATCACATTTGAAAAAGATGGGTCCAAGCCCATTTTAGTTTTTTTAGTATAAGCGATTGGGGAATAGGGTTTATACAAATATTCATCGGGTGCCTAGGGGTTTCGAACCTCTGCCCACATGAGTGGAAGTGAAAGAGCTCAACTAACTGAGCTATACCCCACTAATAGCCCATTCCAATTTCTAGAAATACACTTTTGTATAAAGTATTAAGATACACTCCAAGTTTCAACCAAAACAAATAATATTAAGATGGCACCAGAAAATAAAGAGATGCCAATAATTCAAGAAAACACTTTATGAATGGGGGAAGATAATAAAAAGGAAAACAACTATTTTTTCCATCCTATTATCAATAATACATGGGCATGCATGGTGTGACAATATTAGCTCAACGTGCAAAATAGTATGTGCTTATGTGATTTTGGGGGCCCATTTGTTTTTTTAAAAAAGGAATTTCTGAGGTCTTTTTCATATATGAATAATGATATTGTTCAATCATGGGTTTTGGTCCATGTTGTAGAACACACAAATTGTCTGCTTTGACAACTTGGAAATGGGACCATAGTGAAAGAGCAAAGTTTGCGTGAGGGTCACGGAACAAGTATAGTTAAAAATTAACATGTTTTCAAAAAAAAAAAACTTATTATCAAATTTAAACACATGCTATTTGTTAATTACACTGTTCTGCCACCCTGAATTGCAAAGCATGAATAACCCCACAAAAGTTTTTCACTCTACTGAATGTTTCACATTTAATCATTGCGAATTATATATCCGAACACATTCATCTGTAAGATTGGTTAACAACTCAATGACTGATTGTGAATTTAGACTCTTGATCGAGTTAAATATATGATTCAAAATACCAGGAGCTTACTATGTGGGTTGAATTTGGTCCACCTATTGTTAATTACACTGTTCTGCCACCCTGAATTGCAAAGCATGAATAACCCCACAAAAGTTTTTCACTCTACTGAATGTTTCACATTTAATCATTGCGAATTATATATCCGAACACATTCTCCTGTAAGATTGGTTAACAACTCAATGACTGACTGTGAATTTAGACTCTTGATCGAGTTAAATATATGATTCAAAATACCATGAGCTTACTATGTGGGTTGAATTTGGTCCACCTATTCCCTTAATATGCAAATATATATATACAGGGTTAAGCAAAAGCTAACTCTATCTGATCATATATCCCGTCTTAAGGAACATGTGCCCTTCATTGTAGCTGAATCAAGAAACCGTTGAATACATGAACTTGAACCACTAAAAGAAGAGCCAATGGTGACCAACGAATGGAAATTGGATTGTTTCACAAGGCAAAAGCTTGTATATTTTCAAACCCTACGAGCTGGTCATGTTTCTTAGGCCCTTGAATTTTGATAGATCAAGTCATAAATGATGATTATTTATATTCAGCTTGCTTAGCTCAGCACCTTCATTAAATTTTAAATTAACTAAAACCAGTAGAGTGAAATGAAAGTTATTTGAGGCGATGTTTGCTTTGGGACCTTTTGATGCAATAAATATAACAACAAGTGGAAGAAATTAAGAAATGAGAGTCAAATATTATGTTTTGTGTATTTGAGTTAAGAGATTGTGCTTGATATATATATCACTATAATTGAAAAAAGTGATTGGCAAAATTGTCACGTCATATATCTGTTTGTTCAGTAGATAAAATAAAAAAATTATTCTCGATGCATCTCTATAATTGACAAACGACACTGCTTCCCTCCTTCCAGGAAGGAGGCATTCCTACTTCCTGCAAATCACAGTTTAACACCTATGCAAAAATAATTCATCAAAAAATCAAAAGAAAAATTTATACACATATGTCAACCTGCGATTGGCAGGAAAATAAGAATCCTTACTTCCAGAGAAAGGAGTCAAGTATTTTCCATTGAGAAAATTGAAACTATACATCCTTGAGTGGAAAATTGGACAAATTACGGGGACTACAATGTAATGGGCTTATACATGTTTGTGCGTGTGTGTGTAAAACAAGAGACTTGCACTTTTTTTTGGGGTTCAAAAGAGAGACTTAAACTTTAAGCTATGCTGAGCTTCTGAGATTGAGACTACTGTAGAACATCACAATTATCGAGTGATATTATGTGGTCAAGGTGGGGTTCTTATTGATTAAATATCTAAACACATGGATTAGATTAATTGTCTCATTACCCCACTCCCGTTTTATGGGAGTAGTAGACCCATAGAGAAATGGACGAAACTCTTAATATAAGTCAAGCACTTAGTGTTTTATAATCTCCTGATTATTGGTTGATATGCAAAAATTAATGGAAAGCTGTCATTGATTAACGCCAGATTATTTATTAATACATGATTAAGGAATTTTCACGTAGTTTATAATAATTATTGTACACACGCATGTACGCGATACAAATACAATCATTCGCTAGCCATGTGTATACACATGCATGCATATATGCATTAGTCCTCACTTACCAAACAAAGAAGCTATCATCAGATCCCTTCAATCTCATTTTATTCTTAGTTAATTAGCTCCTCTGACAATTAATTGAATTGTAAAACATAATCCAACTGGGTTTCTTGCTTAATTACATGTCTTCAAATCATAATTAACACATGATACGTGGTGGTGTACATGGCAACTTGCGAGCACAAGTGGGTGTGAATCGTACATATAAGAGAGATACACACCAAATCTAACTGGTTTTTATTGCTTAATTACATGTCATCGAATCATAGTTAAAACACATATGTATCTATTCTATTTTGGGACTGCTTCTAGAAGAGTTAAAAGCGATTTCTAACAAAGTTGGCCGAAAAAAAATAAATTTAAAATGCTTCTAAGTCATAAAAGTGCTTTATGGAGAAGCACTTAACATGTGCCTTTTCAAGATCAAGAAGCACTTCCAAGTTGTTTTCAAGAAGCACTCGAATATATTTCATAAATATTTCAACAAACTTCTGCTAAAAGCGCTCCTTGCAAAAGCACTAACTCCTTACAGCAGTATTTCCAAACGGGCTCCAAATTTATTGCTTAATAATATAATTTTCTTTTATCATACAATTTGGGGTAAAAAGGCAGTTTCATAATTTTGACTCCTACTATTCTTTGCTGTTGCTTCATAATGCATTCCCAATGCGCACGGTAGAGACAACAACAACTTTCTCCTCAATCCTCTCATTCTCGAGAAACTCAAAACCCAAGCATCACGTAACAAATAATTTGCTCTTTAAAATCTTTTTGGCCTGTGAGAGAGTAAGGTTATACTGGAATCATACATTAAAACAAGAATTCACTTGATTAATGATTCAGATTAACAATTTGATAATGAAAGATATTGTACTATGTGAAATTGGCAATTCTTGATCTTTGAGAAGAAACTTAAATTTAGAATAATATCAAAATGGTCTGAATTTGTTATGTTGTCACAACATCGATCAAAATCAG